ATTTTTGGGAAAGCTATTTTCACCGGTTTTAAAGGCTCTCCATCACAGATTTTGATCGTTTTTTGGGAATGCTATTTTCACCTTATTGTAGGCTATCCATCACATATTTTGGCCAATTTTTTTTAATGCTATTTTTCACTGATTTTGAATAGGGATTGCAATGGGTCGGGTCGGGGACGGATAGTGCATATCCGTTACCCTACCCAAAGTAGTTTGGGTTTTACCCATACCCACATAAGAAACGGGTAGAAAATCAAACCGTGCCCATACCCGCTCGGGTTTCGGGTATCCACGGTTATCCATGGGTAATGGTTTCTCTTTATAACTTCAACCAATATATTAATATTCACACTTATTCTCACGTTACGTAAGACGAAAAGTACGACAATTATTCACTAGAATGAACAAAATTAATTACACAACACAATTCCAAAAAATATTATATTTATATGGCAAACATAAAATATGTTAGACAAAAATATTGATTATTTCTAGACAAAATACATATGCATGTGTATAATCGGGCGGGTTCGGGTTGGATAGTGAGAAAACCATGCCCACCCATTACCCGCAATATTCGGGTTCGGGTTTTACCCTTACCCACTAAAAGTCCTTCGAGTTCGGGTTTTACCCTACCCGATTATGTCGGATTCGGGCGGATATCCACGGTTGCGGATATTTTTGCCATCCCTAATTTTGAACGATATCCATTATAGATTTTGGCTTATTTTTGGGAAAGCTATTTTTACCGATTTTGAATGTTATACATCGCAAATTTTGACCATTTGTTGGGAATGCTATTTTTACCTGTTTTGAAAAGACTATCCATCACAAATTTTGGCCGATTCTTGGGAATGCTATTTTCACCGATTTTGAAGGTTATCCATCACAAATTTCGGCAATTTTTCGGAATGCTATTTTCACCGGTTTTGAAGGCTATCCATCAAAGATTTTGGCCTATTCTTGGGAATGCTATTTTCAACAGTTTTGAAGGCTATCCGTCACAGATTTTGGCCAATTTTTGGGAATGCTATTTTTCATCGGTTTTGAAGGCTATACACCACTTTTTCTGGCGGTTTTGAAGGCTACCCATCAAAGATTTTGACCAATTTTGGGGATTGCTATTTTTCTCCAGTTTTGAAGGCTATCAATCATAGATTTTGGCTGATTCTTTTGAATGTTATCATTCACCAATTTTTACGGCTATTTATCATAGATTTTGGACTATTTTTAAAAGAACATTTTTCACCGGTTTTGAAGGATATCCATTAGAGATTTTGGCCGGTTTTTGGGAATACTATTTTCACCGATTTTGAATACTATCTATCACAGATTTTGACCGATTTTTGGGAATGCTATTTTCACTGGTTTTGAAGGCTATCCGTCACAGATTTTAGCTGACTTTTGTGAATTTAATTTTTCACTAGTGTTGAAGGCTATCCATCACAGATTTTGGCCGATTTTTTGGAATGCTATATTTCACAGGTTTTGAAGGTTATTCATCACAAATTTTAACCGGTTTTTGGGAATGCTATTTTCACTGGTTATGAAGGCTATCAATCACAGATTTTGGCCGATTTTTGGGAATGCTATTTTCACTAGTTTTGAAGGCTATCCATCACAGATTTTGGTATATTTTTTAATGCAATTTTTCACTAGTGTTGAATGCTATCCATCACAAATTTTGTCCCATTTTGGGAATGCTATATTTCAACGGTTTTGAAGGCTATCCATCATAGATTTTAGACCATTTTTTGGAATGCTATTTTCACCGGTTTTCAAGACTATCCATCACAGATTTTGGCCAATTTTGGGGAATGCTATTTTTCACTTGTTTTGAAGGCTATCCATCGCATTTTTTGCCGATTCTCTGGAATGCTATTATTCACTATTTTGAAGGCTATCCATCACTGATTTTGGTTGATTTTGGGGAATGCTATTTTCCACTAGTTTTGAAGGCTATCCATCACAAATTTTTGCCGATTCTGTTGAATGCTATTATTCACCGATTTTGAAGACTATCCATCACAGATTTGGCCTATTCTTTTGAATGTTGTTCACCGGTTTTGGACACTATCCATCGCCTAGCAGACTCTGGCATAGATGTTGAAACTGGCGTCCCGAACAGGACGGTAGATTTAGCGTCCGGTTGACCTATGACCTTGTCGTTGGCTAGGAGAGCTATGAACACGACTCTTATTGACTCACCATTTTGAGGTGGAGAGAGCCGGCTAGAGTTTAGCATTTTCTTGTGGCTAGCAGCTCGGTAGAGACTACTCACAAACGCGAACAGGGGGTCGATGCCACCTGACCAACTAAAACCTGTAAACCAAGTGCAATTCAACTCGAGAAACAATCTTACTTGTGTTGCGATATTGCTCTTTTGTCAAGTTAACTTGGATGTATTTGATCCAGCCTTATGAATGCCAGCAATTTTATAAATGCAACTGCAAGATTGGCTTCTAAAGAATCTTTGGACATATCACACTAGCCTTCAGTTTGGCATTACATGCAGGCCCTTATGGAGGACCATAAATGAACGAGTTTTCGCAAACAAGGTCATACCAGTGGGAGCTTTCCTACAACACATTTTGGTTTGGATAAATGTCGTGAGGAGAGGACTGCCATGGAAAGGGATCGAACCGTCCACCATCCGAATCTTCTCACAAGAACGGGGGAGCTGATCTCCTTGAAGTTGCCTCCTCCCAAGTGGGTAACTCTCAACTCATATGGCCCTGTCATCCATGATGTAGGCTCTACTGCTGTAGGGGGCCTCCTTAAAGATCATTTAGGACATTGCATTGGTAGCATTTTAGCGTTCTCTATTAACTAGGAGATTTGTTCGGTCACCCTAACACAGTTGAGAGGTTTTGTAGAAGGTCTTCAACTAGTTTGGGATCTCGGTTACAGACGACTCCATGTCGAACTAGACTCGTGATGTGCTCTCTAGCTTCTCAATTCTAGTGCACACACAGATCATTAGCATAATGCTATAATTCACTGCCTCTAGACCTTGATCAGGCTTGACTGAGAGGTTGTTTTTTCCCATGTTTATAGAGAAGGTAATAAGTGTGTGTACTACATAGAATGTAGGGGTCATTGTCTACCCCTTGATTTTCATTTTATTCATATTAATGATTCTATGTTACTGCATTGAACAAGGTTGTCAAACCGCTTTAAGCCATCAAGCCGGTTTGACAAGTGGTTTGAGGTTTAATGGTTGGATCAGGTTCAACCAGGTCAAATAGGTTTTAACATGATATGTGAGGAAACCTCTAATACCAAATAGATTATGCATATATTTGACATATATTAAAACAATGTCACTAATATACATTCATATCACCAAATTATTTTTGCAAAAAAAATATTACAAAATTATCAATCCTCATCTTCAAACCCGATTTTGACTGGTCAGACCATCCGGTTTTAATTAGATAACCCAATTTTGATTTATTCTAGAACTGTCAAACCGAAGTGTATTCCAACTATTTAGATTATCAGTTTTGGTTGAACTGCGGTCGGATACTGGTTTAACAACCTTGGATTTGAATTTTGTATGAGAATTTTCAGACCCCGACCCGTTGTGAATTTAGGGCTGGGAAACGATGCGGTCTAGTCCAAATCGGACCATTTATACGATTTACGGTCCAGACCGAGAGACTGGAATATAGACCACAGACCAGACCGCAAACTATACGGCCCAGACCAAACCACACCTGTGCGGTCTGGTCCAGATAGACCACACTAAACGAAAAATGAACAATTTGATTATTCAACCACGCAAAAGATTGAACCAATAGCCAAGAAAAAATAATTTTTATGCGTTAAAACATAATTTTCAACATGCATGAATAATTTTGACACCATAAATCTCAATAAATAATAAAAATACAAAGGTAAAGCATCCATACTTGCACCATAACATTATAAACATTTACCTATGTCATATGAAGACACGATCGTCTCTACTCTCTGGTGAAATGTGGTTGTGAATGAAGGTGGGGACGAGATTCTCGAAATTTAGATTGAGACTTGGATATCATTGTGAGAGTTGGGAGAGTAATCGAGTCGACTACTAACACGTATTGAGAAGTCGGCTGGGTCCAGGGTTTGGGAACAAACCGCGATCTAGACTAGACCAGATCAAGAGTTCTAAACATCATATGATACAGACCATACTTAACGGTCTACGGTTCGGATCAAATCTTTCCACGCCTATGTGAATTGCATCCATTTATAAATAAGAAAAAAAGCTGGTAATTAGCATAAATGGTAACAAATCTTTGCACTTAGTAAAAAATGGTCACAAACCTTTTATTTGTAACAATACGGTAACAAAACTTTGAAATTGTATAAAATGGTCACCGCTATTTAATTTATGACCGTTTTGTTTTAAGTGCAAAGGTTTGTTACCGAATCGTTACAAATTAAATGTTGGTCATGTTTTGAGGTCGGGTAGTTTGTTCGTTAAGTATATGACACTAACCACTTGAACGACATATAAGATGCAGGTCATGTGTGCATCGACATATTTGCTTTGCCGAATAAGAATGCCCTCAGTTGACCTTTCAATTTCGATACCAAGAAAGTAAGAAAGTAGACATAGTTTTTTCAACTAAAAAGCAGTCTGGAACCCGTTTGTGAGCCATTGAGTTCTCTCATTGTCATCCTAAACAACATAATATCATTCACATACATTAACAAAACCACCATACAACTAGAGTGAATTGTAACGGTGATTGAGCGTTCAAACTTTTGAACTTAATTTGTACAAAAAGGTCACCAAAAGTCTAATTTGCAACGACACGGTAACAAAAGTTTGAACTGGTATGAAATGGTCACACTGCTTAATTTGTGACCGTTTTGTTTTAAGTAAAAAAGTTTTGTTATCAAATGGTTACAAATTAAAGATTTGTGACTGTTTTGTACTAAGTGCAAAGGTTTGTGACCATTTATGCTAATTAAAAAAAAAATTCCTTCCATGCAACTGATAATTTCTACTCTCCCCGACCTCTCAACTTCACTCTCGCCCTGCGTTCGCCGCCGCAGCTGCCAATCTGCCATTGTCAGTCGCCTCCTCGGCTCGCTATTTACTGCCATCGCAGCTTACTCCTCCGCTGGTGAGATCTCCGTTCCTTCTTTACTCCTGCTGGCTTCATTTTGTGCGGTCCATCTGTTCTTCCTATCTATTTCGCACCTTACTTTGAACCGATGAATTGGCGAATCGATATCAATCGGCTCTGTTCCTGCCTTCCGTTGCATGCTTATAATCCAAAATTCTTTGGAAGATTGAGTTTAGGTCGTGTCAATTTCAGAGTTTTTGTTGAACCCTAGATTCTGCTATTGATCCCTGACCTAGTAATCTTCCCTGAGTTTTGAATGCTGATCTAGTCTGCAAACCTTTAAGAATCCTGTAGATGATTCAGTTCTAGTGATCTGAATGCCAAGAAATTAACCTGTGGTGTACAGTTCCTGGAAGAGAAGTGAGGAGAGGGGTTTATTATGGCGGCAGCAGCTGGAGATGTTGACAGATTAAGCGATCTACCGGACAACATTCTGCATCACATTCTCTCCTTCCTCGACACCTTGTCCATCGTCGAGACCAGCATCCTGGCAAGGAGGTGGAGGTGTTTGTGGAAAGATGTTCCCATCCTAAACATCTGGAGAAAGTACCGCAATTCGTCAACGTTTTCTTTCAAGGAACACATAAGCAAGCTTCTGTCTCTCCGATCCCACCATGTTGCTGTGGCAGAGGTGAACTTCGACTACTGTCGTTGGGGAGCGACATTATCAGAAAAATTCGAAATGTTTGATAGTGTTATGAAATATGCTGCCTCCCAATCCCTTGGTAATGGTGGTGGCAGTCATCTTCATCGTTTGTCAATTGTCAGTCCTTCTACCATTGACTTCACTGATATGGCTGCCTCCATCGTTGCGAATCATCACCACGATTCACTCAAGACGCTTAAGCTGACGAGGATGAATCTTGTATTGGCACCAACTTCAGGATTTATGTCCCTGACAGCTCTGGAACTGTTTGACTGCTGCCTTGGTCCCAATACTTTTGCTAACTTCCCTGGTTTGAAATACTTAAAGCTACAGGGTTGCATCTCGAGGAACTTGAAAGTGTCAGGAGTGGAGCTCGTGCACCTGGAAATTCGAGAGGCACATGGTTCATCTATCTGGTCTATGGAAGTTTCTGCTCCAAAGCTCAGATCTTTCTGTTTCCGTGGTACTGATCCTCGTCGTAAATGGTCGCCAGTGCTAAACCTTCCTGCCCTGGATCACGCAAGCGTGCATGTTCTTTGGTTTAACTCGACCAACGGTTTTGGCTATACGAAAGAAGAAGCTGATCGTGCATGCCTAAAGCTATTTAGTGGTTTGCATAATGCTGAATCGCTCATCCTCTGCTTCGACAACTACAATAAGGTACATAACTTGAGTTGCCAAGAAATAAGCAATGGTCAAGTAACTAGTGTCATGCTGATATAGTCGTTTGTAATAGTTTTTTATGCTAGTTCGTATCTTGGATCACCCGACTCGTGGTCTAATACTATGTCCTTACCAGGAAGATACGGACAAGAACTCTCCTCTTACCGAACTGAACTCATCCTTAAAGGAGAATGAAGTATCTCCCTTCACAAGATTGAAGACCTTGAGGGTGCAGTATCGAAAAGGATCACCGAAACAAACCATACCTTACCGTGTGATTCGCTACTTCTTGGATGGCTCTCCTAATTCAGTAGACAAGTCTTTTGCGATGGAGAAGATTGAGGAGAAGATGTGATTGATCAATCATCTAACTCAACAGGTTGCTTTTAGGTTGGTAGAGACACTAGCCAGGAGTGAGGTATCTTTTCTTAACATCTCCAATGTTTGTTGCCATTACTTCAGTCCATATTTTGCTCAACATATGTATCTGGTTAGCATGACTTTTGCGGACTTTTTCATGTTCATTCAAATGCGTTCTGATCCTCGGAAAGCAGGCTTTTCACAAAGCGGTTATCTCGAGATCTCTCTTTATCTATTCACTCGATTCTCTTAAACCTAAGCAAGCTTCAGGCTCTCGATCCCATCATGCTGCTGATACAGAGTTTAACTAGCTGGGGAGAAACAACATTATTAGAACTATTCGATTGTCAGTCTAGTACTCTTTACTTAACTGACATGGCTGCCTCCATCGTTGCTAATCTTCACCATGATTATGATGTGAGTCCCCACGGCGGGAATACCCGGCCAAATTGGCAAATGTCCGACCGGGTATTTTTAAGGGGAAACCGGGTATTCAGTCTAGAAGCATTCTTGGCCGGTGTGTAAATACCCGACAGGGTATTTGGACCAGGTTTCGGGCTGATCGGTCTTCTTTTTAGGTTTAGGTTTTTTTTTTTTGATTTTATTAATTTATTTGTCCTGGGCTGTATAATAAAGGGTTGTAAACGTCAATTTTAGAGATGAGGTTTTGATGAATAAGAATTTTGCATCGAGGTGTGTTTTTTCCCATGGAGCATGAGTGTTTATGGTTTATTGGTTTAGCTATTTGTGGATTTCATAGCTAGAACAAGATTCTTAGGGGTCGTTTGGAAGTTGCGATAGTTTTGTTGAGATTGTCATTATGCATGTATTGTTTACAATGCATCGTTTTTTTTTTTTTTTAGATAGAAACTATCACTCATTTTGAGTGATTGTTATATCTCAACTTTTAGTTGTGATTGTTAAGATAGTTGAGTTGAGATTGTTTTGTCTCAGCTTTTAGCTTATACGACATACACAATCACACATACCAAACGTTGTATTCTACAATGCATCAAATTTGACAATACATGTATAATATTATACATGCATTCTCAACAATACATCTATTTAACAATCGCAACTTCCAAACGACCCCATTTGAGTTTTTTCTGTTGAAGATTCCAGAAGAGTTTGACAAGACTTTTATCAATCAAGCGATCACACTTGATTGTGACGAGTATCTATCCCCATGTATCCTTTACTTTTATGTTTGTTTGAAGATTGATTCGAACTATCCAAACTTGAATCGTTGCTGCGCGATTTTGACAAAAGTTTCTAAACTTTCACGAGCTCGGCATCTTATCAAATTCACTCAGTACGGTTAAGCTAACAAGGGTGAGGCTTTTAACAGCACCAACTCTCTAACTTACCAAATAAGTCAACTAGTCATGAAGTGAGCCATATATACGTCTCTCATAGCCAAAGTATATAATTAATTGCCGACCTTCCTTGATTAGTTAATGATTCGTCAAATGCCCTAATCACAAATGGTACGAAGGATAAACGGCCACGTACGTAGCGCGTAGAAGCCTAATGTTATGTTGAAAAGAAAAGTTGGGCATGCATGGCTTAAGGACGTGGCAATATAATTAAATTTGCACATGCATGCAAACGCCACAATCAAGTTAGGTTTGCTGGAAATGACCACATCACCCCCTCAAACCTAAACATAAAAACAATATTATTGTTTGTCCACAACAAATGACCATCCCAAAACTATGTTCCAATTCAACCAATCAAGTTTGCTTGGGATGCAAGAATGTGGAGGAGCTTTCTAGGGAAAAGAGATTAATGAAATTCATGTGTTTGACATAGTGGTGATTTCATTGATAGATAATGAGATTAATGAAATTTTTATTTGTAATATCGATTTTACATACCTGAATTCTATGATCGTGCGAGATTTTTTTTTTTCTCTCTCTATATTCTATATAATTACAATAAAATCCTACATAATTCATACAAAAGTTGTGATTTTATTGAGATACAATATTGAAATTCTTCAAAATAATTAATATTCGTAGGAATATAACTCCAAAGACCAAAATGATGATAAAGATATACACATAATTATCTCAAATGAAAATTTCCCATTTGCAACAAATAAAAAAGAAGTCCTTAACTTGCCAATGCAAAAGGAACAACCCCAAATAAAAGTCATTGAAAATACAAGCTACACTAACACAATATACCACCCAAAAAATAAAATTCAATGCTTGCAAATTACACACTCCAAATAAAACCTTCCTTTACTTTACTCCTTTTCCCCTCCTTTGACATATAGCCCTATTGAATTATTAGTAACTTCCTCAAATAGCTCTATGATCAATCAATCATATGAGTCATTCAAGAAAACAAGGATCTTGTCCCCCCCTCCCTCCTCCCCATATATGAATGAACCCCAAATTCATCACTAGCCCAAACTCTCTCTCTCTCTCTCTCTCTCTCTAAAGCTCCTTCACTAATTTTCTCCCCTTCTTATAACATTCTCACAATCCCAATTCATTTCAAACCCAAAACAAGCCAGAGAAAGAGAGAAAATCCCCCACCCCAAATCCCAATTTTACACAAGCAAATCCCAATTCCACTCCTCAAACTTTCACCACACAAACACAAACAAACCCATCCAATGGAGATCAACCACCGTGGCCGCCCGGCCGAAACGAGGTCAACGTCGGTCCTCCAAGGCGACGAGACGTTCTACAACCGCGTCATCTCACGTGACTCCACCTCCTCCGCCGCCGCCGCCGCCCGCTGCCCTTCGAGCCGGGTGTTTTATTATCGGTCCGCCGCCGAAGGGGTGCCGTTCAATTGGGAGACTCAGCCGGGGACACCTAAGAACCCTCCCAAAGAGGAAGCCATCCCTCCCATCAGCCCTCCTCCCGCCGTCCTCAGCCTCTCCCTCCCTAAACCCTCCATCATCAACCACCACGTCAATGCCAACGCCGGTGGAAGAAGAGGAGGAGGAGGGTATAGTACTAATGCTCGCAGGCTGAAGTTGTTGTGGAGGTTCCTCGTCGGGAAAGGCAGCGCGAGACGACGCCGGTGGTACGGCCATCGTCAGAGTACGACGACCCAGGTACTAACGTGAATCAATTCATGGCTTTTGTTAGTGCGTGATACAAGATCCCGTTCAACTTATCCAATAACTCCGATTATTGGGATTAATTCATTTCAGTGATATAATCTCCATTTGTTTTTTTTTTTACAAAAAATAGTTATATATATTGAATCACCAAAAAGATAATTACACCTGGAAATCAGACAGGTCTAAAAATCAAACATACGACTCGCAGTCGGTGACACAGAAAGGGTCTTTCCATTTGTTAAACATATGTATCTATGCAAAAAAAAATTATCTTTTTGTGATTACATATGCAAATGTTCAAACTCATATTAGTAGACAGTGTTTTTAAAATTGTAACGTACATGTGATTTGATTAGAAAAACTTTCTATTAATCGATAAGCGGTTTTAGCAGTATGAAATGGTTGAACTTTTTCAATACAAATTCCGGTAATTTTTTACAATTCTTAATTTGAAGTAACATATTATTAGTGTGTGGTATAAAATCTATTATTGGATCCACTATTAATTCTGGAAAGTTTTAACATGGCCAGGTGAATGTTTGATTGATTGACGTGTGAATAGAACCAATTTTTTGCAGGGAAGAAGAAGCTTGGAGAACGTTAACAATAATAATAATAATAATAATAACAATAAGAACACAAGGAGGAGTTGGGATGATCAGGCAGGGGATTCCATAGCTTCCCCGCGCGATTCCAGCTTCTCGTCGTCGGCGATGTCACGTTCTTCCTCCAACGACGACGGATATTCCAGGCTCTCGTCGAACTCCGACGCCAGCTCCGGCAGCCCCAGGAGCCGGAGGGAGGCCGTCAATAGTAACAACAATGAGTACGGCCGCGGTTGTGGCGGTGGTCGGACATGGAACATCAATTCCATGCTCGTTTGTGTTTCTGGCAAGATCTGACTGGCCGGTCGGCTCGGCCCAACCGGATTCGGTTCATACCCGAGTTTTAATGTTTATTTGAAATATTTCTGCAAATTAATTACTTTTATTGTAAAGAAATTCATATGATATAATATAATAGCCCTGTAAAAAATGTCTATATAGGCATACTTGTCATGAAGACCTTGTTGATTCATGGATGGCCTTTTGTAGTAATATTATATATAGTTAATGTAATGTACCCAAGATATGCTTATATGGCAAGGGCAACAATATCTAATTATGTATAATTAACTTATAACCATCAAAAGAAAAACATGTACTATAGAGATTACACAACATAATTGTAGTTTTATTTGTACCAGTTATTGCACAATAAATATTAATAAAAGTTGCAAAAGAGCTAACAAATTTTTCGTATTATTCCTTGTTCTATATTGTTGTTAGTCGTGATCGGAGTTAAATATTGAAAGGAGATAATAAAAAAGGCGTAGAACGGTGAGATTTTTGTTAAATCATCTCTTAACCATATATGAATAACTCGAGTGGTGGTCAAACAAATAAGAACTAGTGGGTAGCTATTACCAATTTTGTGTTGTGTTAATAAAAGTCTCCGAATAATACCAGGAATAAGAATTAATGTCGACATGTGGAGACCAAATGTTTAGGAGTAGACAATTGACGTGGTCAACATCATATCACTAATCAAACTAATGAACGCTTGAATTGAACTGCATTGGATTAATGTAGGGAGGTTGATTCAGTTTTTTAGTTTTAATTTACAATCTTTTTGTGTCATTCCCGTCAACGGATAGAAATTTGTGCATTACACTTATAATATAGATAATTTATAATTATTTCTTTCTATAATTTGGGAGAAAAAGGTTTACCGATCCTTAATATTATTCCTTATTCTCTCTATACATTTTAAATACATCTCCCAACAAGAACGGAAAAAACTGCATCAAACACGCGATAGATAGAAAGAGTTACGATTTCGATCCTACCTTATCCTGATTCCCCAACTAGATAACTACTAATACATCTTAATTAGGAACTAACCTCAAATGCAAATAAGCAAATTAATAAGTGGCTATAACATACTATAAGCATTAATGAAAATTCCACCTTTATACTAAAAGTAGGCAATGAAATCCACGACAAGTGGGATTCCCCCCAATCCCAAGTCTTTGTTACTTCCTCCTCTAGGGGATATATTATCTACACAGTCACAATGTTGCCTGTTTCACAGTTAACAACCAATTCCAGAAAGTTAGAGATTTCTCTGCCTATTAATCTGGATTACTAGCCCTCTTAATCACTCTGCTAATCACTCCCTCCCTCCCCAACAACATTATTATTATTCTTATTACTATTATTCGAAGAAAAAGCTCTAAGCAAAAATGGCGATGGAGCTGATCAACAACAAATCGAGAAGGGAAAAGAGAACCATCATCTCACTCTACCAACTAAACCCATCCTTCTACAACAAGATCGTCTCCCGGCGCTCCTCCGTCGGCGACTCCGACCAAATCACCCGCGGCGGGGTTCCTTTCGTTTGGGAGATTCAGCCAGGGAAGCCGCGGATCCCGCCGAAATCGTTACCGCCAACGGCGCCGCGGCTGTCGTCGGCGTCGTCGCTCAGCCTGAGGAACCTCGCCGGGGTTTCCGTGCGGAAGAGGAGCTTCCTGGCGAATCGGATCAAGAAATTCGGATCCGGGATTTCGGATCTGGTGGTGGGGAAATTGAAGAGGGTTCCGGTAATTCGGATCCCGACGAAATTGACCGCGGGGCAGAAGGAGATGGCGAGGGGTTTTTTCTGGAGGAACGTGAATCGGGCCCACAGAAAGCTGAGGATCGCCGGGAGCTTCTCCGGGAGGAAGATCCGGCAGGTGAGGGCTCGGGTTTCGCCGGGATCGCCGCGGGAAGGTGGGCGCCGGATCCGGGAGTATTTCTCAAGGAACGCGAAGTTTCGCCCGGAGATTTCTCCTTCTTTCTCGGACTTCTCCGGTTCCGGCAGCGGGGGTTCTTCTTCCTCGTCGTCATCGTCGTCGGTGAAATCGCCGGCGAAGTCGCGGTTTGCTCTGCGATCGAGCTCGGGCTTGGGAAAGAAATTGTCAGCGAAGTGGACTAAAAGCCTGAAGCTGTTGAGACGGGGAGGTAATTAGTTTCTTAGTCAGATGATGGGCCCAAAGCCCTTTAATTAGAGTTTTTTCTTAGTTAGTTGGGCCTGGCAACCAAGCCCAGTGCGCAAGCACATGTACAGTGTAAGCCCATAGAACGGTTCGGAATAAGAAAGTCAAAGGACTCTTGAATTTTTTTTTTTTAATTTATACTTGTGAGAGGGACTGAAATTGATTAGGTTCTTATGAGTTATGACTTATATGGTTTGTAATCTGCTGTTAAACAAGTAACGTGCCTAGAAAATCATATTTGTCTTGGTTAGTGATATGAGATAGAATTAGTATGTATCCTATAACTCCATGCAATTAGTGTTAATTACTAAAATTAAAATGTGTCTGTTTATTATGATTTTGACTTTTCATCTTAGATAAAAGATGAATCTAGTTACAATATATTTCCATCTAATAGGTACAAATATAGGATGCACCATAGCTTTCCAAGATTTTCATTAATCTCGTCGATGAAATCAACACTATATAAAATTAGTCTCCCTTCTTAGAAAGTTCCTTCATACTCTTGGGACTCAAGCAAGCTATATTGGCTGAATTCGAACACAATTGGAAATGTTATTGCCTATAGATAATATTTCTGTTTCGGGTTTGAAGGATGATGTGATTATTTCGAAAAAACCTAGCTTGATATTGGCATTTGCATGCATGTGGCGACAACAATAATAATTTATTGAATAACTAGAAAAATTCGTTTCAAGTTGATCGAAAGAAAGAAAAAAGACTTTAAGGGCAAAACTCTATTTCAAGTTCGAAGTAAATGGTTGTGTTACATAGATCCATCACATCTTCCCAATTTTCTCGATCACAAAAGACGTGTCTACCGAATCAGGAGAACCACCGAAAAAGTAATGCATCAATTCATAAGGTATGTTTAGCATTGGTGATCCTTCTTGACACTGCATCTTGCTCCACAAGCACCGACTTCAGTTCAATAAGGGAGTTGTTCGCGAGCGGCTCGGTGTTCGATTCGAGAAAAGCTCGTTCGAAACTCGCCTCGTTAATAAACGAGCCGAATATGAGCTAAGCTTTGTTCGACTCGGTGGCTTGTTGAGCTAAACTCGTGAGCTGGCTCGTTTAGAACTCATGATATGTCTCAATATGTGGTTAGAGAGCCAACTCGATTACCGACTTATGGACGAATCAATCTATATCTTATGATTTTAATTCATATAGTTGTTAAATTATATATCTCGTCATATATAAAGTTTAACACGTTGAGTATGTGAGCAAATATATCTTATTTTCTATTTTAAAAAGAAATTATGTTTCATATACTGTTTCGATACTATGAAATAATATGATTTGCCGTAGTTAAAATTTATTAAATGATATATGATTTTACAGAAAATAGCTAATAAAATAAAGCATATATGATGATACAAAAAATTACCAAAAAAAAAATTGATATTTTAGTAAACAATGAGCTCGAGCTCATAAGCCCAAAAGAATAAGGAGCGCCAGCGCCAAACGCTCGGAGTCGGAGACCCTCCAACGGCTAGTATACAACGGCTAGTATCCAACGTTCAAAATTAACAACTTTATAAATTTATTCTTGCTACACTCCTCTTCCCCAATAGCATCGTCTCCATTTGCTTCCTCCCGTATATCTACTCTGCCCTCTTTCTCTCTGTTTCTCTCCCTCACTCTCTCTCTGCCGCTCTCATCCTCCAGTTCTCTCTCTCCGGTGCTTCACTCTGCCATCTACCTGGAGGCGGAGGCAACATTCACATCTGCTGCAAATCGACCCATACAGCCAATTCTTTCCCACTTTCTGTAGATTTGAACAATGATGCAGGATACGTGGACCGGGCCTCCCGGCTTCCGACCGACCAAATCTGCGCCTTCTTCGCCGGCCAAGCCACTGGCCATATCAAGAACTCGCTCGGATTCATTTCACGCCATTCATAAAGTCCCAGTAGGGGACACTCCGTACGTGCGAGCTAAAAACGTTCAGGTGAGAATCGAATTGAAACATTTGACTGGGTTTTTTCCTTCGTATTGGGGTTAAATCGTATAGATAAGCCTCTGTTTTTTTATCGGGTTTCCATTTTGTGGGTTGAATGGTGATCAGTTGGTGGAGAAGGATCCGGAGAGATCAATTCCCCTGTTCTGGGCCGCCATAAATGCAGGGGATAGGGTGGACAGCGCGCTGAAAGATATGGCGATTGTGATGAAGCAACAGAATCGGGCTGAAGAAGCCATTGAAGCCATCAAGTCGTTGAGAGTACGGTGCTCGGACCAAGCCCAGGAGTCTCTCGACAACATTCTTTTGGATCTCTACAAAGTAAGCATATATATATGGTTTCTTGCAATCCGTTTGAACGGACGTTTCTTCCATGTACTTCTTTTACTGAATTGGGTTTTTGTAAAATTCTCATCGAATACAGAGATGCGGGAGATTGGATGATCAGATCGGTTTGTTAAGACACAAGCTTTGCCTAATCCAACATGGAATGGCTTTCAATGGTAAACGCACCAAAACCGCCAGGTCTCAGGGGAAGAAGTTTCAGGTCTCTGTAGAACAGGAAGCAACTAGATTACTGGTGCGTGTGTATTCAATTCTTTCCCCTCCACCAAACAGACCTGGATTGGAATTTGACAATTAGAAAGATTGGATTTTGATCGGGTTTTTTTTTTTTCAGGGAAATTTGGGTTGGCCATTGATGCAACAAGACAAGTACACAGAAGCAGAGGACGCATACAGAAGGGCACTTGCAATCGCACCAGACAGCAACAAAATGTGCAACCTGGGGATATGCCTGATGAAGCAAGGCCGAATCAACGAGGCGAAGGACACTCTCCGGCGAGTGTCGGAGGGTCCCCGGGGGATCGATTCCCATCTCAAGGCCTACGAGAGAGCTCAGCAGATGCTCAAGGACCTGGAATCCGAAATGATGAACAGCGGGGCAGGGGATGTAGCTGAATGGAGCAGATTGTTCAACGCCTTTCTGGGCTCCTCTTCCATTTGGCAGCCCCAGCCTTGCAAATCATCGTCTCGTCAGGATGATTTCGGCGATGAAAATATCAACAGGGCCAATACCACAGTGACTAACAACAACATCAACAACAACAACGAATTACCACAACAGAAGAAGATGGTGAAACAGCAGCTGGCATCGTGGAATGTGGATGCCCCGCCGTTCTATTCAGGGAAGCAGAATCATCAAGTTCATGAGACTCTGAAGCGGACAAGGTTGCCGGATAGTAAGGATTTTGAGGATGCTATTCTGGCGGCAGTTCTGGGTCCTGTTTCTTCATCGTCGACTAAGGATGGGCAAGGGAAGCCGCCGCCGGTGCCGGTTGTTGAGTCTCAGGGGTTCAAGGTTGAGAAGAGGCTCAAGGTTTTCCGAGACATTACTCTGTCCCTCAGCCCACGAGCCTGACTGGACTGGACTGACTACTACTGGATTTGACTGCATACTCTCCTGCTGCAACATTTATTGCTGGCCATTAGTGCCCCATTTTTTTTTTCCTTTCTTTTTTTTAAATTATATTCTAATCTTGAAGGTTAAGGTAGTAGTAGTAGAGTAAGGAAGAATATCAGGTTAAGATTAGTTGCGGGAGGGAGAAGGTAAACTTGTTCTCCTTGACCACCACTTTACTAATTGCTGGCCATTCTTTTACAGTGTTTAGCCCTTATGGAATGTGGAATAAGAAAGTCAAAGAACTCACTTTTATTTATTTAATAATTTTGGGTTAATTGCATGATTGGTTGCTGAGATTAAAAAAAAAAAACGTTTAAGTTTGGTCACTCGAAATATTTAAATCCATTGGTGGTACTTCAATTTACTGAAATCGTTCACGTTTGGTCACTCTCCGTCCAACTCCGTTAACTTTGGCTGATGTGGCAGTCAACTCTCAAAGTTGACTATTAACTTAGTGACGTGGCAATTAAGAAATAATAAATAAAATAAAATTTAATCTATTTTAATGTCCAACTCATTTTTACCATAAAATAAATAAAATAAAATTTTATTACAATTATCAAATTGAAAGGGGCGCTTCCTCCTCGTCCGAGCTCCCAAGCCAGCCAGCAACGGTGCGAGATCTTCCTTCCCCGTAATCAAATTAGCTCCAATTCTGCATCTCTAGCACCTATCCATCCGAGCATCCAAATCAAACATTTGTCCTCTATATTTCAACTTGCCAGTCGAACAACGAAACACTCGTTACTCTCATTTATATGACACAAACATAGTTCGAGTTTAGGCCGTTAGTGATAATGTGACAGATCAGATTTTCCACTTGCAACCCCATGAATGTAATTTCCATGCATGTTTATCCTTTTTCCTATATTGCAATTTTTTATATAAATAAGTTTACAAGACAATTGGGAATTTGGATCAACTTGACAATTCCCTCACTACTCCAGCATGATTTTTGTTTGTGTCCGGCCGACGGTGATTCAAGATCCGCGACTAATATATATGATGTTTGATCTTAACAACAAACAACGGCGGCCGTAGAAAAGAAAGGACGAAGGATTATTATTGTGTCCCTTATCCCCATTCACAAGTTCTTGTTGATGATCATTAAGTTAAAAAGATAAAGACGATTAGGCATATTTTTCTAAGAACAAGATTATGCCATTGCATGTGGTTTATGTCTTTGGTTTAAGTTTTATTTGAACGATGATATCTTAAATTTCGAAAGTAATATAATTGACGATTGAAATGATTTTGGAGTATTTCCTAATTTTAATCTTTCAGAACTTGTGAGTTGTGACCTGTTTTGTTAGGGACAAATGTTAAATCTAGTATTATATTTAGAGCTTCCAACATGTTATAGAATCTAAGTGAATGATTGAGTAATTTTCATTTATGTTGGGTATATGAAGCTAGCTAGTTATAACTATAGAAAATGTGTCAGATGGTTATTCATAAAATGTATTTAATGTAATTTTTAGTTAATTATATTATACTCAAATTTTATTGTAGTCAACCGTCCAAATCGATGCAGTGAACCACAACCGCACCAATTCACAATGCTATGGAGATGAGATATATGTACTATGGTCTCCGATCACTCTCCGGTTCAAGATTAAACAATTCTACAATAGGATTTTTCTACCTAATTAATGAGTAATTAATTATTGTTAGTTCCACGCCTCAATTGTTCTAGCATATTGCAAGCTTAATCTCCAGGGTTGCCATTACGTTGCTTGCATAAATGGACAACAGCAAATAAAGGTATTTGGAATTTTGGACGGGCGAAGATGTATTATTCAACTTCTATTAGCTGGCTACAATAATAATTTGGAAAAAGTTCTCATCCGTGGAACAATACCATTTGTCTCACCATCTCTATTTTCAAGTAACTTACTAATTATTCACTAACATTCACTTATATTCACCCACATAATTTATTTATTCATCCAATTTATAAGTGAATGAGAAAACTGATTAATGATAGGTACATGAGATTAATGAGTATCCCCAATCCTACCTAACATGGTAGAAATGGGTAAAACCTAATGTTGACGAGTTTTTGGTTGGATGGATGTTTACCTGTTTTTAAATTTGGTGGGTTGGGATTGGATTTTACCAAAACATATCTGCTTTCCACCATACCCGTACCTAAAATAACATTAATAATATCCATAATATATTAATTTTATTAGTATTTATAATAATATAATACTAATAATATGAGTACTTATAGATGTCATTAGTCTTTATGAAAATATATTTGTTGGAAATATTTTGATAATATTATGATGTGTGTATTTGGAGCGATTATATTCGTAAGCCCATGAGCACCTGTTGGATTGGGTTGACTTTTCGCCTCTATAATGTAACCCAATTTATATTTTACCTTTTTTTTATTGCAGGTGCACCCACTGATTTTGATGTGAATGTAGAGTAACCAATCCAACCCAACTCAACTCATTTGTCGCTAATTATATATCTTCAAATTCATTATTCTCGGCAGTACTCCCCTCATCCCACTAAACAACCACTAAAGAAAGACATTGTTGTCACCACGACATAGTAACATGTTGGTGAAAGGAACACATCATCATTTCTATGTGTACAATCAATCCTAAATGTCTGTCCCAATCTGAAATAGCTCCTCTCTACAGCAAGTTTTTTGACATGATGGTGATGAGGATGATCACCAATCCTCTAGCTAAGCTACTAAGCTAGATCCACATGTTCTTGCTAGAGATTTAGCACAGTAAAAAACAAAAGACAAGTTACTCCATCTTCTTCTTTTACTTATCACTGCATGCAGGCATCAGTCAATCATGGCCAGTAATGTTACAAACCAACCTGGACCCTAGCTTGCATGAATGAGGTAACAATTACCTTGTTCACACACAAACAAGGCTCAATAAGTGTCCTTTTTTTTTTACTTTGAAATCCCCACTAGAAATGAAACAAAAGTACTAGAGTTTCCATTCCATTGAAATCCTCCAAGTGGTAGTAACATCTCTCAATTTTAGGGGGCCATATTAGTGATAGTAATTGTTTGCATGGGTTTTCATTTTCTTTGCTACCTGTTTGCACGATGCTACCATTTGTCTTATCATGTCTAGGAATGGAAATAGGTTTGCATTTGGGCCTGGTATTTGAATATTCATATTCGCCATCCGCGTTACTATTTTAGAGTGTAGAATAACATCAATCATAATGTTTGATCAACAAAATTGATTGCAAGAGGATGAGGTGAGAACATAACGAGTCTAGATACTGAAGAGGTTAAACAAAAAAAGTGTAATTGTCATTTGTCAATGCCATTTTATAATCTAATGAACTTATTCTAAACAGGTTAAAGTTGGATCGAAAAAAGTGGATCGAGTAAGATCTAATAATTTTTCATAAAATCAAATGAACAACTAAAATGTTTAACACAATTTTCATTTTTACCAATCTATCGATCTATAGATATATGATGAACTACTAAAATGATCATTTCAACCATGTACGACTTAGTTGTTTTGAACCAGTGAGTAGAACTGTAGACAGTAATGCGCTAAGACTCTATATCACATATATTCCTAGGCTGAAATTTTATTTTTCTTCATGAATTTGAGGCCATTCATTCAATGGTATAACAATTTCCGTGGCGTACGTACGATTGGAAATTCGTGTCTTGGGTTGAAAATTTGATGTTGGTGGAAGCAAAGGGAAGAATGAATTCTCAATTTACGACCATTAATAGCCCTTGTGATTTTTCATTCCGTATAGCATATATATTAATCCAACTATATTTATTCTTTCGGAATTATTCTTATAAAAATGTCGATCCCTCTGCATATAGCTTCATTATCTTGTGTTTATGCAAATGTTAATATCGACACTTTCCTTATTCAAGATTCATATTTCAAGAAGAAATTAATTAAACCAATTCAACTTAAATCATGAGTTAAATTGGAGGCTGGCTCCTCAATTCTCAATAGAGTTATATCCATAGCTAGGTTACTCATTCCAACAAACATACCTTATACATAGCATTTTACTATTCACCCAACTTGTACTACTTAATACTGGCTCAATACTGGCTCAAGATAGGGTGCATAACCATGGGTTATGCACCCATCAATAACCAAATCTGGACCCTTCATTTAGAAAATCCAGATCTAAGGATGGAGAATTAAAGACTATTTTTATTTTCACTAGGTTTCTTAATTGACTCATATCTTTTTCGTTTTAACTCGGATTTTAATTTTTTTTGCACAGATGGAACGAGTTCACCGTGCTCTACAAAATGAAATCAATTTTCAATATTTTTTTAGGAAAAAAAAATTCTGGCCTCTCGGTACCAACTGCATACCATATGGTATCTTCTTCGTTTTTAATTCGTTTTTGAAAACGTTTGCACAGAAGGGACGAGTTCATCATGATCTATTGGATCTACAAATTTCTGGGTGAACAAATTACAAGACCAAAAAATACCACACAATACCATACAATACCACCCTGGTACGGGGTGGTATTGTGTGGTATACAATGTTAAAAGTCGTAAATTACAATTAATATACTTCTACTATCATGTATTCAACCATCCTACAGTATTGGTTTGTTCATACCACCATGGTACGTTTTTCAAAACATAGGTATGCTTTTATTTCAATACCAGTCAATACCATATGGTATAGGCTGGTAAAAAATGACTCAATTTTTTTTGTTCGAAAAATATATTAAAGTGGATATCATTTTGAAGAGCACAATTAATCTGATCTAACTGTGCAAAAAAAATTAAATTTCGACTTAAAATGAGCGAGAAATCGTCCGTCAAAGATTAAAGAGGGAAAAATTAAAGGCTTTCCATAAGAGAGAGGATGCTGATGTCATGCTGATGTGGACGGGTTACTCATGGTTACTCACCATAAGGTTACTGACCTGATCTATTCCCCTTAATACTTATACTAATTGTTACTTTGTGGTTTAAATTGAAACTTGAGGACCGATGAAAAATGAGAAGGAAGGAAAAAGCATATATTCAAACTCGAAAGTCATATAGGCAAAAGAAAATATGTTAATGTGGTGGTTCTAGTAAAAAAAGAATATAACACCAGAAGGAAAAAGGCCTATGAAAGAGTTCATCACATATATTAAAAAAAATGCCTTAGTATTATTATAGCAATCAGTTGATTTTTTGTGATATATAATAATGCTTTCATTACTTCATATGCATGGATGGTGATGAGGCAGATAGCTAGCTTAGACAGAGAGGCTGGGTCTTAGCCACATGA